GGGGGGGGGGGGGGGGGGGGGGGGGGGGGGGGGGGGGGGGGGGGGGCTGCTGAGCGCGTGACCCCCCCAGGTCCGGGATAAATAGCGCGCGCCTCCTCCCCCCTACTATGGTCACTATTTCAGTGGGACACGAGTAGAAGCTGTTCATTTCGGGGCCAGAGTGTGGATTATGGCATCGATCCTGCTGTTTGGGTAAGTCTGTGCGATGGGGAGAAAGTTGGAGACAGGAGGGAGGTTCCCATCTGTTTGCTAATTGCTTCTCTCTCTTTAATAGTTTGATATTATCGGTGGCTGCGACAGCCCCTGAAGTCTGGATGCAAAGTGCCCCGCCAGGTCGGTGTTTTTGTACAAAGACAGTGTGTCTTGGTTTTGTGCTGTCTCTGATGGACTAGTGCTTTTACTATTGAACTAATTTGTTTTTAAACCCACTGTTGTAGGTTTGCTGAAGACTGAATGCCGCGACAGTGTTTTTTGGGTTGGACTGAATAAGGATTTTCTTGCTGGGAAGTTCTGGCAGATTAGCGTTGTTGGTGAGTGTTGCTGCTCTATATTGGAGTCAGTGTGTAACGACAGACTTCAGCTCCTGGTGCTGCTCTGATAGAGCCATCCATTGTAGTCTAGGGATGGCATACAATCTCACTTCCCAGCTCTTTTCACCGCACGTCAATCTACAAAGCAGTGGGTGTTTTTTTTATTGCGCAAAAAAAAGTCGATGCCCTGATTCTCTCCTATATTAGAGCAGGAGAAAAGCTTGAATTTCAACACCCAATCAATCCTTTTCCTTTCCCCAACACACAGTTTCTTGGGATACTTTCAATAAACTTCCTGACTTTTTTTGTACACGTAATGTTCAGAACCGTATGTTCAAACAAATCCTTGCTCCAATCTTTCACTGAAGCTAGATTAAATAAATGCAGAAGGAGACTATTATGACTACACCACCTCTTCAAATGCACATTGCCAACAGCTAATTTTATTCCCCCCCCCTGCCATGCTCCAATAATTTTTGCATAATTCTGGTTTGTGGATGATTGATCATTTTATTAACATCCCAAAGGTGCCCCCTCTTTCTCCCCTCCTTCCCACCACCTTACATAGACTGTCAGGCCACTGAGCTGGAAAGACTGTCCAATTCTTAATTATGTTGTAAAACACTTGAGGGAAGTTACCATCCCCCATCTTTTAAAATCAAGCTCTTTAAATGATATTTAGACTTCTTGTTTCTTAAGTCTGAAACTTTGATTTCTGAAAATAATGGCTTGACTTCATATATGGCTTCTAACTTTCTTATGGCTAATGACTTATTGACCCTAACAATGCACAATGAAATCTTGTGGATTTCAAACTGGGTGAAATTCTATGTTTTCCCTTGCCTCTCATTCAACACTTTGCCATCTGCCTGTTGTTCTGTTTTTCTTGCCAATGGAAGCTATGGCTTCAAAGAGTCCAGTTATAAATCAACCTAGGTTTAAGTTACCATGATTCTGGCAGGCATGACAATATTTTTGAACTATTGCTCTAAAAATCAATTAAGATGGACATCATGGGAATGAAAAGACAAGAGTAGATAATTCAGTTCTTCAAGTGCTTAGTCACTCCATTAGATCATGCCTCATCTACTCTAGCTCAGGAAAGTGGCATCATCACCTTTTTTACTCATTAAGATAATCCTGCTGCCCAATTGAAAGCAAATTTGCTTTCAGAGTGTGTAGACACCAGTGAATTTAGGTTTTTTTATGCTAACTCTAGGCTTTTCTATAACTTCTAGATCCTGCTGGCAAAATCTATCTTGTTACACCAAGGTTTGCTTCGCAGTGTGGTTACACGATTACAGTGGATTCCTGGAATAATGTCGAATTCCGTGCCTCTGTCCTTAGCTGCTGTGTACACATTGTGGTAAGATATGGAGAGAATATTTATGCATTCCAGATCTAGTTTTGTCTTTCCCTCTGTGCAGGCCAAATATAAGAAGAAAAAGCAGGAAACCTGAAACACGAAACATTCAAGTGCCTACATAGAAATGAGTCCTGACACTCTAGAATGGGCTGATAGATGAAGGAAAAAATAAGTGAGAATTCTAGGAGTATGGGGTTCTATGAATTTGTTTTGGAGGGGTGGAGGTGGTGTGTAAAGAAAGATGATGCAAAATGTGCAACGAGTCTGACTTCCAGTGTTACTGGATAACTGCAACAGATTAGTAGCTCCATACAGAAGAAAGTCAAATGAAAAATAGCAAGTGCAAAATAAATCAGTGATTTTGGTTTCTGTCCCCAATACCCTGTCTCACTGCCTTTTTAAATCAATTTTACAATGGTTATTGAACTGTTTGAAACAAAACAGCTTTTGTTTCAAACCATCTCCTAATGCAACCTTTAAACCTAGTCTAAACACATCACACCTGTGTTTTTGATTTTTGACTGATCCTGTTCAATTCTTTTTACTGAGTCAGTTTTGTCCTTTACAGCTTACCTTACCTTACCTTAGTTTGTTTCTAGGTACAAGTGTTTTAGCATCTTTCCAGCTTAAGTCCAGGTGATGACTCTGATCCCGCAGGCCATAAAAATGGAATAGAGCTCTTGATATCCAGATCACTTAAATGATTGATTGTAGAATAGGTGAAAGTGATGTATTTACCAGATCAAAATGGTGACCCTTGTCATCCAACTAATACCTTTTTTACACCTCATTGCAGAATGATGAACAGTTCAACCTCACTATACAAATACATGTAGGAACTGACAAGCTCAAGGCTTCAACATATATTCAGGATCTATCATGTATGTACTCACCATGGGCTGCAAGGGAAATCTTCTGTGAAGAAAACTACATGCAGGTAAATGGCTCATGTCAAATACTAGTTTGACACTTAATGCTGTCTACAGCTAATAGTAATTCTAAGCTGCTGCAGAAGAATTAGCTTAAATACTAAGCACCAACAACTTGTGGCATCTGAAGTGATTGTGCTCAATCATTAACTTTAATCATCCTTTGTATGACTGATATTTCAAAAACTGCCATCTAACACTGACTTTGTATTAAAGTATACAACATGAGCTACTGTTAGTAACAGTAATCTTTTTAAATCTTGGGCAGGTTTCAGTACAAAGGAAGATCCCACCAATTGAAGAAGATTATGCACAGGATTCTCAGGACTGGTCTTTAATACTTCCGGAAGTAAGATGTCATAGTGTCTGGAACTTTCAATGCTGTCCTACTTTTTTTAATATTATCTCAATGTTAATAATAATGTCTCCTTCAGCTTTATTCTAATGAATGCAACTGTAGGACTTAAACTTTATTCTTTATACCCATTACATCCATGGCAAAAGTAGGCCCAAAGATGTTTGTTTTTCAACGCTGGCTTGCAAACTAACAGGTAAAGGCAGCATATTGCAAACTTAAGGAACTTTCCAAAGTGGGAATGTATAACCAAAGCATTGGTAATGCTATACACCATCACTTGGATGGAGCAAAAATTGTTGCCTGTAGAATTTGTAGTAGCTTAAATAACTGTTCTGAGCACCAGAACATGTAAACAGCCATGTTGATAACAACAATCCATGCTATGGTATCTGTTTTATATCAAACTTATCTTGATTGTTACACCTTTTTTGTTTGCAAATATGCATTTCTAATACCAAAGCTGTTGACATTCCACACTTGTAACTTGTCTTGGTTTTGTTTTTTCTTTTATGGCATTGTACACAAACTTAATGTTGAGGGTGACCTCCAATAGTCTCAATTCTGCAAAATTGTGACTATAATGCTTACTGCAGCTTTAAGTGGAATTTGAATTGTCTTTACTGTTGCACTAGGCAAGCAGTGCAGAAAGTGGAATATGGCAAGTGGTGTTTCATGTGTCTGGTGACAAAAGGATTATGACTGTGAAAGAAGCACATCAAATGAACTATGGAATCAATAGTACAGTGTCTCGTATATTGCTTCGTGCCCCCTATCATACAAATGAGGCTCAAACAGTTTTGGTGAGTTTGCTAATCCTACTCCAACTGACTTTCCTGAGCCTTTAGACTCTGCATTGAAAAGTAGTAACTGACATTTTTATTTAACTAACTAGGTCCAGGGTGTGCCCTTGACAGTAATACGATCAAGTACTTTTTACAAACAGCATTGGATGATTCTTGTTGTTGACACTGCTGTGGCTTGTCCCCTTGGTAAGAATGCTAGTCTTGTAGCTTTCAAACTTTAAGCCTAACTGTAAGCTTCAGTTAGTCTCTTTACTCACCCTTTAATATTGCCCTGTTTAACTAATATTGAGTTCTGTGGCCTTTAGTACAACAAGGGCTGAGTACTCCATATTGCCCTCCTTGGGACCTGCATCCCTAAGTGGAAATATGTGACAATAACTCCATACTTTTACCAAGTTTTAAACTTGCTACTTGTTAACCCTCAGATGGTACCTCATTCACTGATGACAAGATCATCTGGACAGTACCAAGAATCTTCACTCCAATTGTAACCAGTGCAGTTCATCAAGACAACCGCTCCATGGGAGTGAATGGGGTAAAGTTGGATCCTACAACAATGGCAGAAAGAAACTACACCATTGACCAGAATGATACAGCCGTTGCTATAAAGGTCCCGATTGGAGCACAGGATGGATACTACAAGGTTGGGTGTTTTGGATTTTTCCTTGCAAATGGAAGGATGATCACCACGACCACTTCAATTTAATTTGAAACCACAAAGCTGAATTTCATATATAGCATAAGGCCGTTCAGTTTTATAATCCTGTTCCACCATTCTTAGTGGTCGATCTGATATGGCTGTCACTCCTTCTGTACCAGCTCCATAACACTTGATTTTTAAGTGTCAATTAGAAATGCAATATGATCCTGAATCTCAATGATGCTGTCCTCAACTTTTGATCAGAGCACTAAGATTTTTCTTGAGACTGAAATTTCTCATGGGATTCTCTTAAACAGTTCCCTTCCTCCTGACTTCTGCATCAGGGAAGCTTTTCCAGATCTAATCAAACTGGTCCCCTCAAGTGTCTTAAATTGCCTCACATTCTTTCTACTTCCTGTATGTAGGTCTAACCTGCCCAACTTTCTTCCTCCAAGACTACATCACTAGTCTGCTTCTTGGAAGCAGTTCAGAGGAAGTTTCCAATGCAAGCATATCCCTCCCTCAGTAAGGAAATCAAACAATATACAACATTCCAGATTGGCCTCAACAATCCCCTGTGCAGTTGTAGCAGGACTTCTAATAATCCATTGTTTTTCTTCCCCCACCTACAGAAAAGACTGACTAACTGTGTTCACTTCCTAATTAGCTGTACCTACATACTAACACTAGAGTTATCCATGAACTAGGACATCAAACTCTTCTACTGCATTCCAGTCTTTCCCTTTTTAAAAAATGTACTGGCTTCCTATTATTTCCCACAATGGAAGAGTTGACATCTCCACTATTCTGTACCTGCTTTTTTCTCAATTTTGTACCCCTCCTTGAAGGTTGTGACTTTTCAACTTGCTCTCCTATTTTGCATGACAAATTTGGCCAAGTGTATCTCTACAAATGCATGTAGACTATAAATGATCTGAAGCATGCCAGTATTTAGTTTGATCACAGGCTGGCAGTTTATCCAGGTGGTTTTCTATGGTTGGTTGGTCATCCCTCAATTGTATTAAATTCCTAAAACTTCTTTGTCTTGCTGGATGCCTCCTAGAAATTAAGTGCCACATGCCACTTGTTATCAATCCTGCTTGTTTTAAAAACTCCCTTAAGTTTATGAAGGGAAACACTTTACTGACCATGATTTGTAGTAAAATGTCCTATTGATACAACCTCCAAATAATTAATGTTAAGTTGAAATGGCTTCCTGCACTCTTCTAACCTTTTTTAAATAGAGGCTAGATCTGCAATTTTACAGTCTTCCAAAAATCACCTAACCATCCCCCCCTGCTCCAGACTGTTCAAGGCCCTTAAACTTGACAATTGCTTGCACCTATTGGTACATCACTGAATGGCACCCTTTATCACCTCCCTTACCTGACAGAAATCTGGACCTATCATCAGTGTAAGCTTGTTGCATTGATTTTTATCACTGCCTATGTCTGAACTTGGTACAATTGCCTTGATTTTATTAATTTTTCCAAACCTTGCCTATGTACAAACCAGCCCATCTGCTTTTTCAGCCTTTGTGCACACCCTCCATAACAGCTACAATTGTTGGATCCTTCTGCCAAATTCCTGACAGCCCTGAAAATTAACCTGTCCTTGCTATTAGGTTTCCTTTTTTCTGTCTCCCCTCCCAAATTCAAATCCTGTAGCTTGTTTTCTTCTGCTCACTTGTCCTTGTGCTTCAAGAACATCAAACCTGTTGGGTAAACTTTTGAAAGAGGCTCTAATAGTATCTAGGTCCCTATACTTGCCACATTCTCAACCATGCCCTCTAACACGTGCAAAGTTCCTAGCTTGTGACTAACTTCTAGAACCAACTATCCAAATAAAATCACTTCCTGCTCTATTGCAGTGTTTGACTCTGGTCATCAACTGTAAAATAGTCCTTGCCAGGGAGTTCAGTGCCTCTACATTCAATTGTAATTTTTCAAACTGTTCAAGTTCTGGATACTTTTATCCCACTGAAGATGACTATCCAATTAGTCACTTGTGGTAAACATGCAAATGTCTTGTATTGATAAGAGTTAATGTAACTGACTTTACCAAACAGTTGTGTGTTTTTCTTTTTTTTTTTGGCCTCCCTATTTCCCCCAGAGCCATGTGGTGGATGGCCAGTATGGTATCAAGTACAGTATTAACTTGTTCCTGGAGCACCTGTGGGAAGATGAGGCATGGGGACTGAATAAAATCAATGTGATCCATCCAGTTACTACACCCTTTATACCTCAGCCCCTGGTTCTCACTGATGGTATGTATATACAATGGGATTCCTCCTCACTCCTCAAATGTGGTCCAGAGAAAGGAAGTATAAACTAATCATGCCATAGATTTGAATTTGGGCAGTATAAGTGAGGGTCATATGCTTTCTACAATATCTAATGACAGTCTTCCACTTTGTGGGTGAAGGGCACTTTTTTTCTTGGTAGGTGGGGAAAAGGGGAGAACAAGATCAAGGCACTTCACACAAATTGTATTCATGTGTTTTTTAAAAAAAAAAAACCAATTGCAGACTTTCCCCAAATGATAGGCTTGCTGATGAGTTAAATCCAAGCCAGATATGACAGGTGGCCTAATTCTGCTGTAACTGATCAGTCTAGTTTTATGATAGCATATTAACTGTTTTGGTTGGCTTGGGGTTCAGTGTGGAAGATGTGAAATTACAAGGTGAAAGCTGGCTTGACCAATTTGGTTACCATGTTCACAAGTCAGTGAACATTCACAAGAGGCTGCCAAACACCTTTTCACAAGGGGTCAAAGACCACAGTGCTTTGAGCAACCAAGAAGAATTTGGCCCTCTTTTCCAGCAATATGCTTCTATGATACTTGGACAACCTGGGGATGTATCAGTGCTGTCTTCACTATATTTGTAACATAGTGCAACACATGTTATGTAATTGATTATGTAGAAAGAGGTTGAAGTCACCAGAGGTGACTTTTACCTTGAGACTTGCACCTTCAGTGCAAGGCTTGAAAAATGCATGCTTTTATCCAGCTAACTTTAAATAGGAAATAGCATGGTCAGTCACTTTAAGCTTGGACACTTTTCTTGGAAATGCTGCTTAGACCACTAAGTTTCTAGCTGTTATGTAGCCATCACCAAACTAACAAAACCAATTTGCATCTACAGTATAATCCCAGTTCCAAAATATTCACTACTTTTAATCAAAAGTATTAATATTCTACAAAAGTCCACTTCTTTTTTTCTTTCATTCTGTTTATTTTTAATCGAGCATCTGTTATCATGTCTCTCCCTGTCATAAGAATGATCAAATGTAAATGGTGCTTAATGCAAATCAGACTTTTGTAGCAGGAATAAGCCATTCCAGAAAAGTGGGCATTGTAATCTGCAGTGTCAAGAATGCAGACTTTAAAATGTTGTAGAACCAACATAATTCGGTGACTTTCTCCACTATTAAATATTTCTGGTACAATTCAACCTAACAATAAAACTAAGTTCATTTTTCCTCACTTCTGCACCAACATCCCTGAATAACTAATCAGTTTAAATGTTTTAGTGTAATTGGCTATAGTATGTTTTGGTAATAAATGCCACTTTCAAGTTGTCAAACACACTATGCCTTGTGCACTCAAGTTTGCTAAAGGCAAAAAATTTGTCAAAAGAATCACTGAAGTGGAAACTTTAAATGTCCAACTTAAATCCACTCCTGATGTACTAAAACTTTGCACTTGTTGTTTTTGTCCATTCCAAGGTGGCTTTTGTCTTTAAGGCCAAATAGCACTTGGAAGCAATGAAATGTCCCTTGTTTGTGCTTTACAACTAACTGGCAAATTAAGTGCAAGGAATGTTACCCCAAGTTGGCTGAGCAACATCACGACTTTGCACAATCATCCAATTGCCTCTTGGTTAATCATTGAAGTCTGTATTTCTCACCAATCCCAAATAGTGCTACTTTAAGTCCATTTTATGTTAAAAGCTGATATTTCTTTGGCTGTACAAGTCAATGAACTGGGCAAAAATCCTTTCAGTGGCTTTTTGTGACAAGTTTTTCTGATTCACCCTAACTGGCAATTCTTTTGGCAAACTTGCCTTTCTCACTGCATCACATTGTAGTAATCTGTATCCCTCCCTCCCAATTGTAGCACCATCAGTGGTTGAGCTGAAACTACTAGATTGTTCAGTATTGTCCCTCATTGAACCTGATCTGTTCCACTTGAGCTTAACTGTAATGGCTTTGTTTGGGCCACCATTCCTTTTTTCTTTACTCCCTATAATTACAATTTTATCACCACTTTAAACCTCCTGTCCAAATCTGGGTAGTTAGAGGGGATATGAGGACCATATTTTCACCCAGAAGGTGGAGTCTAGAATGCACTGCTTAGAGGGTAGTTGAGGCAGGATCCTTTTTTAAAGGCCTTGGTTGAACACTTGAAGTGTCATAACACAAGACTGAGCTGAGTGCACTATGTAGTGTAGTGATTTTTTTATTGGTGGTACAGATTTGAATATCTGATTCTGTACCAGATGAATGATTTTTCTATCTTAATTTCCTGACCACTTTGATCAATTATGAGGCAATCATGGGTATTTGCCCCCAGAACTGCTGTTTAACTTCTTTTTTCATCTAAAGACTTGGAGTTACCTCACTCCTACCTATTTGCCATGAAAAGTCCACCCATAGACTTCAAATTAGCAATGTTGCAGCATCCACTGCACATTTAGGGTAGTGAATTCCACAGATTTACTACAATCTGAGAAGGAATTTCTCCTCACTGTCTTTAAATCTGTCATCCCTTTATCCTATGATCTCTTGTCCTAGATTCCCCCTCTTGAGGAAATATCTCTTCTGTTAAGCAGATGTGATTCAAGCTAATTCCTCACTTTTCTACACTAAATGTCTATTTGTAAAAATGCTTACATTCCTTTTATAGGATGCTAAACAGCACACCTATTGATGTTCATTTACATGAACATGCTTCTGTCACTCATATCTGACTCACCTCATCAGTGACCTGACGTAAACATGAAGTGTTCACAAAATGTGGCTTGTCCAGCAATCCAATTAACACAAGTTTATTGGGAATTCTGTTTTTTAACCTACTGGTTATGACCTCATGATTGTTTAGTCACACTTCTCAGTTCTCAACCCAAAAGAATATTTAACCTCCACTTGGTAAACCTGGTTCTCCAATTTGCGACAACTTTCACATTGAGGCTATAAATGGGAAGAGGAAAAGCAATTCAAGCATCTCTACTTGGTGAGTGAATTGTTGACTCATGATGCCATTCTTCTTCCAGATACCATTCCTGAGCAATGGCTATTCAATGTCTCATTGGGCAACTTCCTTCCTGATGTAGAACTCACAAAGCTCACTCTGGACTCTCAGTCCTTCCCTGTGGATGAAGAGAGCCAGATGTTTAATGTGTACAGTGGGACTAACATAAATGAGACAGCCTTGAACAGAATCTTCATCCTGGAAGTTCCAATGGAGTCACCAGTTGTGGACAGAAAGGTAATGGGATGCCGGGGTAGATGGTTTCCGTGTCACTGCTTGGAAATGGTGCTGACTTTTTTTGCTTCCTTTTTCCTCCTCAGTATATAGGAGATGGTGTTGAACAATATACCCTTGATGTCATCTACACAATGACTGTGGTACCAGAAGATCTAACATTCACCCATGCGGTTCACTTAGTACACTACCACAAAATAGGTAAGTGTTCTTGTCCTTGTGCAGACTACAAAGTGATACTTCAAAGCATTTACATGTAATGAAAGGTGCCCTTTTTTCTTAGTGCTTCCTGTGGCAGATGGCTTTTGTGGTGAAGAGAGCATGACGCTGATGGTAACACATGGAACCTTGGATCGGCACTGGATTCCTTTCATTGGAAATATGCAGCTCACCCCCCATGCTGCTGAGCAGTATGGCTATATCCTGAGAGAGAATGGTACCCACTCAGTAATAACCATTCCCCATGATGCAGCTGAAGTAGTTCATGAAGTATGTAACTGAGCTTGTTGTCTTAGTTTTGGCCTAGTTTTGTGTGGATCCCAACTAATTGTGGCTTCAATTACAGGCAATAAATGAGCAAGGTCTTCGCAACAGATTTGACTTGAAATTCCAGGATAATAAAACCCTGGATGTTCTGGTCAACTTTTCTGTTTCTTGCAGCTTTTCAATAAGTGACTTGATAAGTAAGTTCCTGACTTCACTTGCTCAAAGCAAGCTCTTGCTTGCTCAGTGCTGGTGTTATTAACCTCTGCTTTTTTAATGTAGCATGTTTCCCAAATGGAAGAATTGTCATCACTGCTCTGAGACTTGAAGCATTGTTGGGAGTGGATGGGAAAATGATGCTGAAAGATAAAACCTGTAGACCAAAGGAGAGTAGTGCTTTCCAGGTCATGTTTGACTTTTTTGCAAACGCATGTGGGACAAGTAGAAGGGTAAGCTAACACCTGGCTTCTATTGGAACACTACTAGAACACTTCCTGTAGAATACACAGGGGTCTAATAATGGACTAATTTCTGCTTTAGTTTGAGGAGGATTACATGATCTATGAGAATGAAGTAGCTTTCTTCAAAAAGTCGACTAGTGATCCAGTATATCGGTAAGATTCTGAGCAAAGTTTGGGTTTTCTGCATGCTCTTTGAGCATACTAAATAGTTACCTACTGTCTTATTGTGCCTAGGCTTGCAGTATCCTGTCGCTACCATGTAAATGACTCCCTACACCTTCAGTTTGAACACCAACTGAATCCTCAGCCAACAGTTGTACCTGGATATGGACCTCTGATCTTGATGATGCAACTTGCCACAGGTAAATCTCCACCTGCAGTGGCTTTGTACTAGTGCTGTTGCATGGCTGGGGGTGTGTGGGGAAGAGAATGGCTTGAGTAGATATCCAGTCTTATTGGGACTCCCCGTCTTGCTTGGATGTTTGCAGATGTGTCCTATTCTAAGCTGTATGAGGAAGGTGACTATCCAGTTGTGAAGTATCTGACTGATCCCCTCTATGTAGAAGTGCAGCTGCTGCACAACAAAGATCCACAAATTGAACTGTTCCTGCAGGACTGTTGGGCAACTGCATCACCAGACAGACACAGCATTCCACAGTGGGCCCTAATTATCAACAGGCAAGTCAGAGTTGCAGTTGTCTAAAGACAGGAAGTTATTGATGTTCACCTTGTGATGAGTGACTGGTTATTTTTTACAGCTGTGAGAATAAAGCTGACTTGTATAGAACCACCTTCCATCCAGTAACCAAGAATGAGCGGGTTAAATATCCTGCTCACTTCAAAAGGTTTGAAGTCCAGATGTTTACTTTCACCTGGGGGAATAATCACACCAAGGAACAGGTGAAGATTGCTGCAGTATGGTGTTCTTTTTTCCTTCACTGATTCCTGAGTACAAGTGTCCTGTTTCATAATGCTGTTCTGTTTTCATTCTCTCCTAGGTATACTTTCACTGCAGTGTAGCCTTGTGCAGGAAGGAGCTAGTAAATAGATTCCTGTGTCCTGGTCAATGTATACCAAGGAAACAACGAATAGGTAATGCTTTTGAGATTGGACTACAACCTGTGCTGTAGCCTGTAACCCTGTACTGACCAGGTGTGTAATTACAACAGGTCGAAGTGCTGACACAGCCCACCACGTGCAGGGATATGTATCATCGGGAGCAGTTCTGATTTTGACAGAATTCCCTACTGTGGAGAGCAAGAGTCAGCAAGGTGAAGAATCACTTG